AAGAGTCAGAAGAGTAAACGATGTATTTGCAGGTACTTTTGGGACAAGGACCTCCTGCTTCGAGTACCAGATGTTTTTCTGACCTCTTGCTTGGGTCTATGCGATTATGCAATTCATTGGACTCATTGTCATATGTGATCCTCCGGAGAAGGTACACTTTTTCTGCGACCGTATTTATTGAGAGAAATCCTTAACATTGTGTCATTCTCTCGAATTGACGACGGAATCCTTTGTTATCCAATTGTTCACGGCTTCGATTGTGTTTCTGCTACTGCAGATTCGTAGCTCGGGACTTGGGTCAATCTCAGACTTCATCGACGAGATTCGCTACGGTCGCGACCCGTCTCGACGTCGTCAGCGATTCGCCACCGTCTCGTACAAACAGTTGCCGCGCGACGAAATTACGGTAGAATTCGTGGTCGCGTTCGCACTCAGTCAAGTATGTCATTCCACAAACAGGCCTATCAACTTTCACCCCTTGACGAAAACACATTTTATTCGATTGCAAACAAAAACGAGGTTTCTTTATGGGACAGATAGAGGGACTTCTTAAAAAAACCACCATGGCTTAGTAGTTAGCAGCAAATTTGGTTCAGAAAATGCTTAGTATTGGTTTATCAATCAAGATCAAATCCTCACTTTGAAAAGCCTAAGGGCTATCGCAAGATACATGGGCATTTTCTAGGACTAAATCTAGTAGGGGAGGAAGTTCGGAGAAAATGAAAATCGCCAACGCATTCTGGAGTCTCTACCTCTCCTCAAGATGTTCACTTGAGTCAACAAAAGCGGGATCTTTTACGATGGTCAAAAGACTGCATCACAATGCCCAGTATCCTGCGATAGCACCAAAGTCTACTTCATAACAGGAAGTATCTAAGAATTCAGACTGCTCCAGAAAGGAACTACTGGCCAAAAAAGTTGTCTATTGGGTGAAAAGGCGCAGGGGTCTGAGAATAGAACTGACAACTACAGCATGCTTATTTTAAGTTGGCTCTCACTAGCTTGTCTCACGCGGCTTCTGTCACCATTTCAGAAACATCACAGACCTTGACAATTGACTGAAATAAGAACTAACATTCGAAGTAACAAGCATTCAAAAGTCTTCTCGTTTCTCGTCTAGCCCTCGTCATTTAGTGTCCATCTGAGACTGAAGTTACCAGGGAGAGCAGCAGGTTAGTCATAATTTGGTAGGAATATTATAACGCATCCTGGACCGTGACCAGAAGCCCACGTCAAGTAGAGCCCCTCGGTAACATCACAACATCCTGAGTCAGCGACTGAGTGGTGAAAAGGCAAATCTAAAGCTGGTAACATGCCGGCGGCAGATTGTTACCGTTCCTAAGATTCCACCATAAGATAGATCGAATTCCACGTTTTCTTCCTTCATCCGAAGGTTCAACATCTTGCGATCTTCCTATGAAAACACATCCCATTTTAGACCATGGAGCCAATTGCTATGCAACAGCCGTCAAGCGATATTAAAATTAATCATCGATAAGAAATCTGACGTGAATATTTATAGCTTCGTGATGATTTTCGTTGGTTGCAAACTAACTGATGAATAGATTTAGGAGTGGGGTGCAGAGGAAAGAAACATAGAATTTATTAACACATTGAGCAGCCATGTGATTTTGCCGGTGTACCAGTGAAAATGTGTATTTTTTTGGAGGGGGGGGGGGGGGGAGGGAATCGCAATTATCATTCATTATTACTGCCGGTTCGTAATATCGAAAAGACATATCAGACGAATTAGAAGTAAAGTGCCGGATACTCTTTGAATATGTTGGATTCGTTCAAAGAAAATGAATGAGTTGACAAAAGAACAAAGAATAAAGACAGGAAAACCTCGGGAAATTTTCGAGGAAATCCAGTTTTTCGTCTGAAAATCCGCCAAGAGAGGGACCAGATTTAAATCTCTCTATGCCAAAAGTTTAAACCAGACCAACCTAAAAGCAATTTTACATTGATGGGCGGACTCATATATTCGATGCATTTTTGGGTGTTATACTGTCGCCAGAAATTTGCAATCTGCGCAAAGGGTCAGACTTTAGAATGTTCCTTAGCATTTGCCTAGGCTATATGTTTTTGAATTGTTCAATGCTCCCAATGCTTGAAAAGATGAAAAGTTGGCTCACATTTAAAGAATTATCCAATCAAGAAACTTCACTTTTCCCTGAATTCCGCTAAGTCGTTGCGAGAGGAATTCCAAGATGTTTGACCATTGGATCCATTGGCAGTGTCACATTCCTTTGATTGTTATCATTGGGTGGCAGGACTGCGACCGAAGACAACAGAATCGTGAAGCGTTGTGGATGGATTCGTGACTAAGTGTTGTGTTGGAAACTTTAAGGCCGATGTCAGACTTTGCGAATCGCGCGATTCGCTAGCGTCTGCGGTCGCGTCGCGGCCAGTGAATCACTCAATTGGCTGGTACCGCAACGCGACCGCGGACGCTAGCGAATCGCTAGTAGCGAATCGCGCGATTCGCAAAGTCTGACATCGGCCTTATTTTTTATCTATTTATCCTATCTTTAACTTCAACTGTTCACTCTGCTTGCCTGCTACTTATTGGTTTTAAGAATAGCTGATGCTTGGATCTGTTGCTGACACTTTTGTCCGTGCTCTTGTTGATCATTGATTTCTCCTTGTATGATGCTGTCAAAGGGTTATCTTGAAATGGTTTTCAACTGATTCGTAATTAACCTCAACCTCCTTGCGCCGCCCAAACACAGTGTTCACTTTCGCGAATGAATTGCAAAATTTTTCCTTGAGCCTATCCTTGACGACAATGGAGCGTTGGACACTAGCGGATAGTTCGTTGGGAAAAGAATCGAAATAAAATTGTAGGAACCTACAGCCCTATTCCAACTCTTTTCGAACAGGACATTTTCACTGTTTCGTTCTCATGTTCGGGTCTTTTGATTTATTTCATGCTTCCAAAACATGAATGGCGATGCACCATAAAAGTGTTTTTATCTGTAGATTATTATCGATATTTATCGAGTCCAGAGAATGTTATTGCAATTAAATTGTCTCATCATGGTTCAGTGGAATCTATTAGTATTGATGAACTAACAATAATCAGTCAGGAAGCAATACAGCGATTATGGGAATAGGACGAAGAGCTGATAGTGCTATAAGGTCGTAACAAGGATCTTGAAGTAAAGTTATTGATTTCCTGGGTGGCCTATTTATACCCCCCCACTGAGCTCAAAGACCAAAGTCTTCAATATCGCTCCCGCCAGGACCACCAGCGGCTCGAGATCTACGATTCAAGATCGTGAATGGTCGCGATAATGCTTTCAAAACATGGACGATTCCAAAGGGGTCAATTACGTGGCGCGCTCTGAAACAATTGATCAACAGCAGCTACTTTTTTTTGCCTTACTAACCATAAGATGCGAAATCGTGGCGTGGTAATCGGTAGAAGTGGTCGTATTCATGATACAGTCACCTTTATAGGCCGGACGGGCTCCGACCATCCGCAGAGTAACGACGTTATCTGCGTCCCATTTCATCCTGCTTGCATCATCGTCATAAAAGTCGGACTCGTCTGCAAGTCGCCTCAAAGTCGGTCCCGAATTGTTTTGGGCTGTCTTTTGTCCAGAGTTGCTCAATCTGCGCAAGTGGTAAGGCTATTTTCTCAAGGTTAGGAGGGCGTCCGCAAAGCTGTTGAGGTGGTTGTAGTCCAGAAACCGAACGACAGCATCATATGAGAAGCTCTAACTATTGTGATTTGTCGTTGTGAGTCGCCTACCAATCGTAACAATTTGGTACTTGATCACTTTTAGGTGTCCTCAGGTGGCACCGCAACCCGACATCGCTCTGTTTCACGTGAATCGCTCAACTCCGATTCCGAGGCGTCTGATGTCTTCATCAATGAGCAGTCAGAGTGAGTTGCTCACCAGAATCTATCTTCATAGGAAAAATTCCCCATAACATACTTTTTCAGTGAATGGTCGATGCGTCCAAAACAAATGTTGACTTCATCCACCTTCTACTTTCTATTCATAGCTTTATTCTGCTCTTCATTCTATGCCAATATGTTCTATAATCTTTATAAGGTTTGTGAAACTCTTAAGAGATGTGGCATTACTTCGATTGATAAATTTAGACATTTGCTGAAACGTTTATTGAAGACGACTTCTTTCTCGCCAGAGCGTTCGCTATCGGATCCACAGCGAATGCCATTGCTCGCGTAGCGTGGGGTTATCTCGTGGACCGGACGAGTTTCCAGGTGAGTAAACGCTGACCTTGGTTGCGTGGGTGCCTGAACTTGCCATGCTTTCTCTGTCGCAAAAGGCTAGAGCGCAGATGGGTAGAGTAGAGCTGCAGTTTCGGCTCCGAACATTGCTAGCTGATGAGTCCGGGGCTTTATTCAGGCGAGAGAGATTGTTTAGAGGGGGCAGACGAGGCAGCATATTACCGCTTTTTTAGAGGAGTTAACCAGCTCGGATATCATTATCCTTGCGCATTATCGTCACCCTTTTGGACCTATAAAAGGGCGAATAGCTCGTAGTTAAAGTAGTTTTTTGTGTTCTTCTAGAAGCGCTACATCATCCAGTGCCGTAGTGGCCTTTATAGATTCGTAAAATCCAAGAAAAATTGTTGCGCTGCATAATATTTACCAATAATTTTCGTGATTATTGGTAACAGATAAAAGCAGGTGAACAGTAATTGTATAAATAGTGGATTGGTAATATTGATTATCACCTGTATCACCTGTCGTCCCGTTGATCATCGATTTGCTCGAGCGGGCGCCAGCAACGTCTCCATTCGTCCCTGTCGCGTGCTAGAGTGGTCCAGTGGATCCTCCTTGCTCGAGGGACACGAAGTCCTTTCATTAATTTAAATACAACATTTTTATTTTTCATCACAGTGCAGGAAAAAAAACGTGGGACACCCGGATGAACAGTTGATCATGTCCGAATGCAGTGCAGCGGCTTTTGCTCTCAGAGAGTCAACAATGATTGAATGAGTC